CACCAAAACATCATTGAGATCATTAACAGTACATGTGACATAGAAGATTTTTGAGTTTGCTGTTGCCACAAAATCTCTCGTATACTACCGACGTTGTTCCGCATCTATGCAGAAAAGGCAGAGCGCTGAACGCTCAACAAGTGGCTGGGACCTCGATATCTCATTTTTCACTCATTCTTTCAAGAACTGCAAATGCGTTTGTTGGATTTAGAGAAGTTTGTAGAGGAAGGTAAGAGTATATTAGTAAGTCTTGTGTTCGTAAAATCACTTGCTACATCAAAGCAACTCATATCATAAATAAGGCTCACTATACTAGATCCTGATTTATCTTAAGCGTATCAGCGTCTGCCGTTGCGTCCGTTATCATGGTCAGGCGCGTACCGTATCCTTGTGACGTCATCCGTCTGTCCAACCAGGATTCGGTGGTGTATTCTCAACACTCCCACTCAGCGCGAATGCTGTGTGTGCTTGACACGTAGTAGCTTGTAGTCCAAAAATGCTGAAGTCTCTTGGTTTCACTTTTGTCGGGGAAGACAACCAAGAGGCAATTCCAAATAACGCTGGCTACAACGCGCGAACAAATCATGTCAAAAGTTCCCATCACTTCTTGCTAGAAAATGAGACTCAGGAATTAATTGTGGTAAGGCATATCGGCGCGAATAAGCAACTGGCAGACATGATGACGAAGCCTTTGTCAGGGATTATAGTCATGATTGGGGATGCGCATGTGATCTTCAATTCCAAATTAGGCATAGCTTAAGGCTGAGCAGAAGCTGAGTACATGGCGTTGAGCTTGTGTACACAAGAAGTTTTATGGGTGCCCGGCCATGAACAAGTTGAGTCGCGTCGATCGTCAACGTTGCTTCCCCAGTCAGCATCCGCATAAGCCATGACTTCCAATCCATTCATACTTTTCTTGTGTATGAGCCCGTACTCTTGTGTCGTCTAAGGGTGTCGTAGCAAGCGAATAGCTGCTTTCCAGTTTGTTGTCCTGGATTTTCTGGAAACCGAGACAGTTGAAAATACTACATATGCGACGTCGGGGCGAGTACATGTCGTGATGTAAGGAAGACGTTCAAACAGCGACCGTACGGCCTACAGCGCATCTCATGTCGCCCAGTGTCCGTCGGCAACGACTGCATCTTTGATAGCTTCAAGCCTGATTTACACGGATTATTGACGGTCGTGGAGTTTTGATGTTTAAATTGCTCAACAGCATCGTTTAAAACGAGTCTGCTTGGCCATAAGGATACTCTTCGTCTTATCATAATCGATTTCTGTCCCCAGAATGAATTTGATTTCGCCAAGCTCGTTCATCTTAAAAGCCTTCTTAAGTTCTTAAGCTTCAGCTTTACTTCGAAACTCTCGCTGCAAAAATCATGTCATCGACGTAAAATTAGACGTAAATCAGTCCTGCAGTCCTGCAGTTGGCTTCTTGCCACATATACACTGATCAACTCTACAATTCTTGAAACTGATATGCACAAACAACATGATAAATTGTCTTGTTCCGAGCGCAGGCCGCTCGGTTAAGACTATAGATTGCTTTCTAGAGTTGACATACGCAGCTCTTGCTGTTTGTAACACCGTGATATAGTTCCATATAGACACAATCTTCAAGATCACTGTTTAGAAAGGCGGTAGCAGCTCTGTTGCAAAGCCCTCATCTACATTAAAGATTAGCACCACGCGAATTGCATTCATGTTGACCACTGAAGAGTACGTCTTGGAGAAATCAATTTTAAACATTTCCTTATTATATCTTCGCTACAAGCCGAGCCTTGTATCTGACAACCTCCACGTATTCGTTACGCTTTTTTGCAAAGACCCATCGACACCCAATTGTTTGCATCCCCTTCGTTCTTGGAACTAATGTCCAAGATTCATCAAGCTCAACCGCCTTCTCTCCACTGTATAACCTCCAGCCATTGAGGGCATCGTGTTTATCCATGGCTTGATGATATGTGGTTGGCGCATCACCATTATCATCTAAGGCTTGCTGCATATGCTAGCACAGCTTCAGCAATTAGTCGTTCTTCTTTCACTTGTGGCCTCTTAGTTGGAAGCAACCAGAAATGATCGTCATTGTCAGGATCTCCATTCGCGTCGGTTTGATCGTCGTCAAATTCTTCTATGTTTGTCGATTTTGGACCTGTCGAGCTGAAGTATGTTTTGATGTCACTCAATATATGACTGGGCTTTGCTCACGGTGCCTTCTGTCGATTTTCGAATAATACACCATGCTGTTACTCGTTATCGGTCTTCCCGATCGATGAATAGTCGAGATTTCCGTGCCAGTTGCTGGGGCTTCTGCATTGAGATCACTCATCACAACGTCCTCACTAGACTCCTCATCTGGCATTATGGGCGTATCTACAATAGGTTGATCGTTTTGGTTTTTGGGGGCTTAAGACACCGAAACCTTGCAATCGCTGATTTCGTTGACTACCAAAGGTCGGTAAATCTTCTCGGTGTCGTATATGCCATTAACTTCACGCTCGTCAAGTTTAGTTGACCGCACAACTCTAATTTTCTGAGATTCCAAGTCAAACACTCTATATCCCTTGTCGGGCGTATTACAGAAACAAGCACTTAAAGCACTTTATTTCAAGATTCGTTTGCGATGCGTCATCGACGAGTGCATAGCCTTGAGCTCAAAGCACACGTAAATGGTCGACTCGTGGCTTTATCTTGAAGCAAACCTCATATAGTGTCTTGTCGGGATGAGCGCTATTGGTTTGTCTATAGATGACGTAAACCGCCGTGCGAACAGCTTCATCCCACCATTTCGTCGAAACCCCCTTGAAGTGTAGCATGCTGTCGGCCTTCACCAAAATGCATTCGCGCAGGGTCTCCATTCTGCTGTGGACTGTTGGGCACAGTCTTTTGGTGCATTATGCCCCCAGCTCGCGAATACTATCGAGAGTCTTGTTTATAAACTCTAAATCATTGTCCGAGCGTAAGCACTTAATGCAATTTCCCCATTGGTTCTCAAACAGCGTCTTGTAAATTTTAAACTATTTCGCAACCTCGCACTTCTGGAGAAAGTGCATGGCCAACAAAGGAACAAATATCCACAGATAGAAGCACGTATGTTGCCTCAACCCTTCGACTTCGTTTTCATGGGAGTCATCACGTCCGTATTTCCAAGCTCGAGTGTACGTATTGTTTTGAATGGAAAATGATCGACCGTCTGCTTACCCTTCATGTATCTTCTTAGTCTGCTGCTTTGTCACTGACATGCCCATCGTAGCGTGCTGTGTTTTATGCACAGCATCGGGTTTAGGATGGCCCATCCGAGCGTGCCACATCTCCCACTGACCTCCTAAATTTCTTTAATCCACATAATGTGAAATCTCCTGTTGACACTCCTACATGAATGCCTTACCTGCTCTCTTACCCGTAACTGTCGCAGCGAAATTCCGTCAGGATTGTACATAATGATAGACCCCGTGCCGCAAGTTTCCAACCTAAAAAGTCACCGATCTATACCCGGGATATACAGTACTTCAATCATTCGAATCCGCTTGTCATTTATTTCCTCTAAATGAGCTGTGCTCATACCAAATACGCGTAGATTCTTTCCGTCCGCAATCGATACTTCAACACTCGCATTGACGGCCGCGTTTCCGCTAAGATCTCAAACAAAGGGGGGTCATGTGTGAGGTCACCCCGCTGTCAATCAGCCATCCTTCTGGCTGCTTCTCCCGACAGCGGAACCACATCTTCATCGTATTCTTGGCTACTCTCTTGACAATCCAGTTCTATGTTCTCAGCGTTACCACACCTAAAACACTTGCCCTTGAACCCAAAATTCTTCGTTGCACATTAGCCCTTGCGATTATTGTTTCTAATTTTTCTTGAAAATCTTTCGCGTTTGTTTCTTACACCAAGCACTTATCTATAGCACGCTCGTCTTGGACAAGTAGCTCCTTCCAAGATAAACGCGGTTATCAAGGCCTGCAAAAGTTTCAAGAGCATGGAAGGTTCAACCAAAGGTATCTGCGAAGGTTGTGTACGAAAAATACTGCCGACCAAACCGCTTGCCAGGCAGTCGAGAAGTGAGGTCAGGGACCGACGTGCAGTCGAGATTGTCCATAGTGATATTATGGGTTCGATCAAGCCCACGTCGAAAGGGGGAGCCCAGGTCATGGTCACATTCGACGATGCCTTCACGCGCTTTGTCCAAGTGTATGTGATTTCAAGCAAGGCATTGGTACTGGATCGATCCGAGAAGTACTGCGACTTAGAGAAGGATCACTATGGGAGAAGAGTGAAGTGCATTCGGAGCGACACTGTGGAGAATACCCGATTCAGCGATTTGATTCGTTTTGCGCACGATTGGGTATTGTACATCAGCCCAGCAAAACATGCTCGCCGACCGGATGATCCGATCACTAACACGCTCGATGCTTCACGCTATGCGCGTTGAGCAATGATGACAGGTGTGCATATCGTCAGCAAGATCCCAAACTCCGCGCGACCTCGCATTTGAAGCGTTGACAGGAGTAAAGCCTACACTGAAGTTCCTTTGAATTTTCGGATTGCGCGGATTTGTACATATCGACAAAGCCAAGAGGTCCGTACCGGGTGCAAAGGCCCACCGATGTTCGTTTTTTGGGTACGCTGAAGGGTCAAAAGCTTATCGAGTTTGAGACTACGATGCTCAGCGACCCGTACCAGTCAACTGGACGAGCAAGTGCCATCCGCGTACGTGAATAGCGATCTTTGCCGAATTCAAAAATTATTATCACTCAAGTAAACCAATCGAAGAAGAGTTTGATGAAAGGTACGCATCGCAGAATATATCAATTCAAGACGACGTAGGAGATGTGAAGATGGAAGATATCACTGCCAATGATGAGGTAGATGACATGGAGATGAACCCACCGAGACCGGAACGTTCACTTATTTCGATGTGAACAGCAATCTTGAGGCCGGAACGGGGGAGTCAAGACACTGCTAACCGTCTTCGAGGTGTACTCCCGCCCGGAGATGCGATGACCGACGCAGAACGCTTACCTGCTCTTCCAACTGCACCCACGACAACTCCATCGCAACACCTTATGCGTATGACTTCTCCATCTGATATGGATTTGACAAAAATTCAACCTGTATCAAACCCACCAGGTGCAATTGTAGCGACGCAGCAACTGTGTGATAATAATCGTCTCAAACTTTGTGATGGTTCTCGTTGTATAAAGCGGCTCTCATACGCCTAACCACGATTGCTACCCAGTTCAGACAATGTGAGCAGTGGCGGTCACCAATGACCCAAATTCAAACGACAACGACACAAAAGGTGTTCCAGGTCGCGCTTCTGACAAGGGTGGCGATGATAGCGAACCCGGAAGTTAGCGACCACGTTTGGGCCGGTACAAAATTGCACTATCCGCATCAGGAGGCAATGGCCTCACCAAAAGCGAAAAGCCGGAAGGGAACAATTTGCCGATAAATCCGATCACATGTCCGGAATCATACATGAATCGACTGATGCGACCGCGAGGAAATAAAATTTCTCGACTCCTCGTTTTGTTGTTAAAGACGATAAAGAAATCTCATGTGTTATGACATATTTTGACAAACTTGTCTTTAGCATTTATTGTCGACCAGAATATGTTAACTTGGTCTAAAGTACGAATATTCGTGCTATCACAATAAGGTTTGGTTTTCGATTTCTGAATTCTAGTATAGCTACTCACAATACAAATTATAATAGTGTCTGTGGTAAAATATTCCCGTAATTGTAATCGATAACAATTTATAAAAAACTAATGCAGATAACATTCTGGCGGGCCAAGACCCAGACGCGGTCACTGTTCGCCTAAGGACCTTCATTAGTTACAAAAATGCGCTTGTTATACATCTCCAAAAAGTCTCAATCAACGTTGGTGAAAACATCACATACTCTTACAGAGCTTTATAAAGGGACACCGCTTCGGATGATCTATTCTTCGACAACGACATAAAAAACATCTCTTAGAGATGAGACCTTAAATTGCCATCGACTTATTTCTACTCCAAACTGAGCGACAGCACATCGTGCAAGCTATCGCAGAGTAATATAATCGTTTGTGAAAATGGGTACCGACGTGTGGTCCGTAAATAAACGAGGTTTTCCAAATTATATGTTCTTGATATCGCAAATCCTACCCAGGCTTTGATGTACCAGTAAAAGGAATAAAATTGGTGAAATTGACCCAATACTTTCTAGCCAGGATACCAGCCGGCTCATAAGAAACCATGTACGCACGAAGGCTCTAAGATACTAGAAGCAAGATCAATTGAACCAGGAAGAGCAGCAAATTGAAAGAGCGTGAGCCACGGATTCGATGATCTTATCGCCCAACATGGGCGGTAAGAGCGTAGTGACCTGTATCAAATCGAGCAGGATGAGAAAGAAGCTGATTCTATCGAAATTATAGTCGAATTTATGCGTGAGTGCAGTAATTCACTCGCATTTGCTTCAGAAATAAGCATTGGAAAGACTTACGGATTCTGATTTTTTTCAAACGTTTGATTGACACAAGTACAGCTTGACATGATGTTGTGAACCGCTCAGGATAACATCGCGAGCAAAATGAAGTTTTTGACCGTCAGATTTATCAAACCTTTGATCTGACTATGTGAGTTTTGTGAAAAGACCTGTGCTAAGAAATTTTCCCCATTAACTTTCAACTTTATCGTCAGGAAACTTGACTGAAGGGCAAACAACAAAGAAACGGTGGCTTTACCCCATTTACAGAAAGTGTAGCTCAAGCAGGATTTGTCAGCCGCGTCTCCTACATATAAAGTCAGTTAATGTGTTTGTATCTTCTGCATTATTTTGGGACAGTAGATTTTATACTACAGATACTATATATTTCAAGAAGGAACATTCTTTGTATAAAGCTCTAAACTGTTCTGGTTCGAAGGATTTTTTTGACAGATAGACCTTGTGACTGCAAACAGGAGTTTAACATTTTGATATCTATTTGTGCTCGTTTATTGCGACCTCTTTGACGGCACTGATCGCTTTCATACTGCGCATACTCACCAGGACAACTTTCATCGCCGCAGCGAATGCACCGAGTGCTTGGCCGACACCGGAAATGCACACAAATATTCAGATCAAATTCTTAATCGAAATGCGGGAAACAAATCTCGGTAACTAGAAAATCTTCTCAACTTCAAATTCACGCATTTTCTCTGGAACAAAATCGAAAAAAAGGTCTAGCGCTTCGATTCATTCCCTCGCAGTTGTTAGCCGCGCTTTTCGAGCATACTGTCTTTCCCACGTGAATACGTAAACAACGCCGCTAACATTACGTCAAAGATTGTTGCAACATTTAATGTTCAAGTCACACGCGGGAACCATTCATTTTTGAATTTGCCCATTCGTTCTTCCAGCTTATTTCTGGAATAAGTTCCATCTCAATCATCATGCGCGTACCAGATGCCTCCTTCATGCTGCATCTTCTTACTGCTATGGTTCTACTTGTCGACGTCTTGACAGCGCTATCCAATTCGACTCAAACTCCGCAGAACAAAATACAAGATGCAATTAATCGTCGGCTAAAGGCCCAAGAATTACGGGCACAAAAAAAAGTGATGGTGATGAAGAGAGGGTGTCACTTCAAAGACTTCAGTCGAACCCACTTCTTCACGACAGCTTTTTCTCCATACCAATTAAATGGAATTCCGTGTTGTCACGTTTCCCCGATCTCCGTAAAACTACTGCTCGAGTGCTACCCTCACAGTCCTGGGATATTGCTGAGTATTCCCAGTGTTTGAAACAAATGGAACAAGAATTAAAAGAGTTAGACACGAACCAGGTACGACAACTTTGGAAGGAATTAAAAGCTAATGTAATTTTGGTGCGACGAAAGAATCAACCAAACAGGTCGCCTCTAACCAGTATTGCCACGCAGAGCCCCTACGTTCGCTCAGCCCTCGTTATTGCTCAGAAGCTTTCAGCTACTAAGGAAGAAGCCGATATGCAATATCACCTGAAGGGATTGATTCAATATGGGTTTCAACGCGATGAGGTGGAAGTGATATTGCGTCAAGCTGGGTACGGAGACCTGAATGTGCTACGCAATTTGGCTTTATACGACAAGATCATGCACGAAATGACGATAAAGGATGTTTTGTCTGCTCTCACCCTATTCTTGGAAACCCCATCTCTTCCCACCAGCTTTCGTGCCTTACTAGACATCCGTGCTGCCGATATTATTGTAAGCAGATCAAAAATTAGGGCGTCACTTTTCCCCGTTGGTTCAGTGGACCCAAATTCAATCGAACTCGACTGGAAGTATCTTCTGGAGAAATGGATCGACCACTCCTACACCCGGGACCACGTGCAATTAATCCTTCGAAATGTGGACTTAGATACGCAAGAAGCGCAGGGAATTTTGAGCATTTATGACAAACTCGATCGAGCTATGCGAATGGACCTGAATAAAGCGCCCGAAAACAAGGTGCTAGACAATTCACAGGCTAACATTGAAAACGAAATCAAAAATGCTCGAGACATTAATGCTCAGGCTTCTGTCAACTCAAAATCGACCACACTTGAGTGGATTCAGCTCTTCAAGCGCTATATTTTTCTCGATTTTTCTCGTGAGCAGATACAATCAAACCTTCGTAGTGTTTTATCCAGTGAAGAAAAAGTATCAAAGTATATGACCTATATCGACAAAATCGTTAGGTTGGATCCTGGGCATCCTTCACCTCATGAAAATGTCAAGTAGATCTGAAAGAGGGTTTTCGTAGTGCTACATGTTTAGAAATTTTCAGTTTATTGTTAAATGTTAATGCCTAAAATCCGAACGACAAGAGTATCATCAGTTCTTTGCAATAAACACTCTTCTGCTATGACAATTGAGAAGGGAAAGATGTAGACATGTAAGCTTAGCTACGCCCCTGCTTCCAATTTATTTGGATACAGACCAGTCACGGCAAGACAGATATGGCAACGTTTTTATACTTTTTCACTTTGGGTTTTACCATCAAATCAATAGACCGTAACCGCTTCTGGGCATACACCCGTCGTGATACTATCATATGAGGCTAGCCAGGCACCCCACAGTAGGCTGTAATGGGGGGTGAACGCTGCAATCATGAAAGTGTAGCTAACAACTGGGCTAATTTGAGTTCGTATTCAGGCGGACAAACAGAATATTTTGCATGTAAAATAGACATTGACTGCAATATCGTTTCATAAAAATATCGAGCGGCTTCACCTCAACACTGTTCGCCGGGAGGTTTTCACAAACTACGAAAATGCTCTCGCAATTCAACTTAAAAAAAAGTCAAAATCAATGGTATTGATCCCTTCAAAGCTCGATTCAAAGATTTAGCTTCTTTAAATCGTCAAGCCTAATTTGACTGCCACCAGGCGAGCATCCATTTAAGGCCATGTGTACGTCACAACCTTGATTGTGCTCCAAGCTAAGCGGCGGCACATCGTGCTGGCGATCGCAGAGGAAGCTCACCAATTGCGGGAACGGGTACCGATGTGTAATATTTAATGATACTTTCTTTGGCGGCATATGTTGCAATACTCGTTCTGCCTGACAAGGCTTTCTTGTGTAGTTACAACTTATCCACTTGTCAAGGGGAAAAGAATTGGCAAATTTGCTCCAAGTGTTGAGAGCTCTCATACCAGGATGCCATCTGACTCATTTCCAGAGTTAATAGCGGCAGTTAGATTCATGTACGACCGGGAGAGCATCTTTCTAGCTGCAAAGTTCAATCACGTGTCGGCTTCGATGGCGCACCAGATACTATAGATCGCAATTTAAATGTTTAAACGAAAATTATCATTACTGGTAAGCACCACCATGATTAACGAAGGTGATAAACCTATTTGACTTTCAAACATCTAAGCCCTCTGTGGTTCCTGCAATGCTTGATCAAATATGCGATGAATCACTTCGACCACAGACACTTATGTCTCGTGCCGATGACAATACTTAAAGTGTCGAAGATTCTTCTGAGCCTTTAAAGAATATAAAGCATTAAAATAATTTCATATTCACGCACACGTCTATAACGTGTGGCTAAAAAAATAAAACTCTCGATGCGCACTCGGCTAACCTGTTTGATCCGCGAAAGTGGCGCAATCGCATTACTATAGAATTTAGTCTCTATAGAGATGCATCCAGCAGTAACTGGGTTTGAATATTGGTAAATCGCTGAAGCAAAATTGCTCACATCGCTGATGTTAGCGATGCTGTAATTAATGGAAATACATTTATGCGGATTCTCAACAAATATTTTCGTGTTGTGGGATCTAGACGCTATTTTCTTACAAATTTTGATCAAATTGAAACCATTCAGACAAAAATTGCGATAGCAACATGCAGATGCCAACGAATGACGAAACCTGCCAATGTAGTATCTGTGATCTTCAGGACGAAGTTGTTCATCACTTTATACTGGCGTTATCTAGAAACGTCCGTCGTGGCTATCAATGACGAAATAATTTCTTTCCATTTAGCGACCACTCTAGGCCAGAGATACCAAAAAAAAAGTGTTCATATGATTAACACTTTGCTTTTGAATGCGAGAATCATGGCGAAGACAGTAAAGCCAAAAAGAGTGGTGAGAGGCGAAACTCCTGTTAAAATTCCTGAGCTGGATCAAGTCTTGATGTCGACAATTGCTTTCTTTAAAGTGATAATTCGTCAGCTGTAAAGCCATAGAATTTATGAGATTTTAATGCAGTTAGAAACACTAGATTAGCTACCCTGGGACTTTAACAATTCGTATGTGGCCATGATGCTGTCAGGTGTGATCATCTGAAACTGTTCATTAAGTCGCAAAAGCGCCTGCGAGACGCATGCAATTTTCCGGCGATCTTCAACGCTCATAGGTGTGGCCGCATGTAATTGTCTCTTAGCCGTCAGCACCTCAACGCGTGTCTCCATGTTGCTCGTTGTATCGTCATCTCCTACGTCAGGCATGGTCCGAGAAACCCAAATATATCCGTTGGTGCCAAGGATAACGTCCACACCAATTCCTGGTAGCGTAGCCATATGCTGCTTCATTCGCTTGACAAGAGGAGCAGACACGGCCACAAACTGGCCATTCTCAAGTTTACCGTAGCGTAAACTACGCGTATGAAGACTAAGTGAGCCATCGTATCGAACCTCTTGAATTTCAGCTGAGATCAGGTCATTTTCGACAAAGAATGCACGCATTTGAAGCTGATCGGCGTATGTTCGACGACGCTGAGCTCCTCCCGGTAGTGTCACTGAACTCAGCATTAAGCTAGCATCCTGCTGGCCATTCACATCAACTTTCCAGCGTTTGCTACCTACTTCTGTAACTCGACCAACCACAATGTCACCTACTTCGCCAATATAACGTGACACAAGCGGACGCACAGTAATAAGCTGATTTACTTTCTCCACAACACCAGCAACGCTAGCCACCAATTCGTTCCGATTGCTTAAATACGTGCCATGTCCACGCAAAAACGCGCCTGTATCCGTGCTAATGACTTGACCAGGTGTGACAACCACAAGCTCTGTCTCATTTTCTAACTCTAACGGCTCGTTCTCAGTCACAGCCGACAGACATCGTACTCGAATCTTCATGACCAGTTACCGAGATAATAGCATTTAATTCTATGTGGTCTACAATTCGTGGCTTTTGGTGTATTCGACACGTCAGTATCGTCTACGATGGCGCTCCTTCCGCCCGAGTTTCTAGCAGCGGTCTTGCTAGCTTTCATGCAGCTGCGGCTGCGCGCTTACTTTAGTCTAGCTACGTGGATACTTAATGGACTTACTTTCTTTCTACCGCCTGAAGATGAGTTGATCGCAACACTAAATGGTCAACCGTTTTCGAAAACTACCAAAGGCGGCAAGATGCCGGTTGGCCAACCCTTAAGCGCGGCTGAAAAGATGGACAAGTTCTACGTTCGTGTAGCCAAGACAAGTAGTGGTGTCTTTGACCAGACGCTGTTTTTTGAGCTATACGAAATGCTCGTGGTGCTTGTCTCGTCAGCGTCCATAGGATGCTGGATTGGAAGCGTTGTCAGCTTCACGGCACCATGGTTTAATCCGGCTACTGGTGGTGATGACAAAGTCGATGTGGGCACGTATGGTCTAATATCGGCTATGCTTGTATCCCTTTGGTTTCCGCTGCAATTAAACTTTGCCCAGGGCTGGGCGGGCTACGAATCCCGATTAGGCCTGGCCGTCGGGTTCATTGGCCTCATCCTTTCGGGCTTTATCATTCTTTCGCCTCAAGGATGGTTTGATTTTGATCTGGAGCACGCAGTTCACTTAATCGGTGTGCGTGTGGAAATACTGCTTCGTGCTGTGGGATTGACCGATGCAGACTTTGTCAACATCGCGCCATTGGCTGAGATGGCACGAGTCTCGGTGCTCTTGACGTTCTCGCTATTTGCTGGTATCTTCACGTGTACAACCTTCCTGCCGTCTTTTCGATTTACACGCATGTACTTCGAGATGATTAAGGACAAGCGAATTACGATCGTAATGAAGCTCTTTCTTCATCTCAATATGTTCCTGCCCGTGCTAATGTGTATATTGTGGATGCCGAGTCTCTCCAGTGCCGTGCTGGTTCCGTCCGAACTGGTCAAGTGCTCGCCGCGAGCGCTAGCCCGCGATTGTCTACAGGACGAAGTGCTTGGGCTATCAAACTCGACTACAACGGACGTGTGGAAGTGGTACAGCCTCACCGAGTCGCAGTTCCACACGTTACGGGTATACGTCGTATATGTAGCATGTCTGGTGCGATTAATCTGTTTCCGCACGTATCTACAGCGTTTCTTGCTGGAACCTCGTGAGGTCATGGCTTCCCATGTGGGTCGTCCAGGTCTTGTGGATGGCACATGGCTACAGAATAAGGTACGTCTGCAATTTAATTACGTCCCCATTATCGCACTTCAGTATTTGGCACCCGTGTTTGCAATATTGGTGGTCGCGCAACTATTAATGCGGCAAACAGCGACGTCTCTTGGAATTTTTAAAGGCCTCGTATGGGTACTACGGCGCCTGGGGCCAAATATATCGATTCCTGCATACCTCACATGGGAGAACTTAGACGCAGGGTCTTTAAATGTGCTGCCTGACCCCACAGCACCGCCCGATCTAGGTGGTTTTCGTCTAGGCAAGGACTTGACTAAGGAGAATGTAGCTCCTTTCCTGCGTGGGATGAGTCAATATTTGGTGCTGACGGCCGAATTCTATGACTCGGCACTCGGCTTTGTCATCTGGTTCTTGAGCTTCACAATGGTGGCAGTTAGTATAGCTGGTCTACTGTACTGGCGCAACGCCACAGCTCAGAATACAAACGAAGTCGGCCAAGCTATTCGACAGAATAAGCAGACGCCCAAAAAGCTGAAGAACCAACTTAAAAGTCTGAAGTTTAGCAAAAAGAACAAGTAAATAGAAGCACAGCATCGATATCCTCAAAAATGCAGCTAACGTCCTGTTCGAGCCTCTGTTCAGTTATATTTTCATGTTTTTGAGGTATTGTTTCCAGCCGCCGGTAGCCATTCTTTCAATCTTGTCATCCACCTCACGCTTTTGCGTGTCCAAGAATGCTGCCATTGCCTCGATCAGAGACGGGTCCCCAGAGCCAAGTATTCGTACAGCCAGTAAGCCTGCGTTCGTTGCATTACCGATGGCAACTGTGGCGACGGGCACTCCGCGAGGCATCTGCACAATGCTCAGCAACGAGTCCTCACCATTTAGTGTTGAAGTCTTAACGGGAACTCCTATAACAGGCAGCGGTGTCAGCGCCGCGAGCATACCCGGCAGATGGGCAGCACCGCCTGCACCCGCAATAATCACTTTCAGACCACGGCTAGCAGCACTTTGAGCAAACTCGTACATTCGCGTAGGTGTGCGATGAGCCGACACAATAGTGAGTGTGTACGGCACGTCAAACTTTTCGAGCATATCGGCAGCGGCAGCCATTGTAGGTAGGTCCGAGTCCGAGCCCATGACAATTCCAACCAGTGTTTTACGTTCCAATTTTAACAGACCCGAATTTTTGGCCGCCTCCGGCGAGAGAGCTGTCGCACGCTTCGTGAGCTCGTCTAAACTTGGCGCTGTGATAGTCACGTGTCCTAGCTTACGGCCAGGTCGAACACCAGCTTTACCGTAAAAGTGGGCAGCCGCACCTGGAACCGTTAGACTGTTGCGTAGTAGCGAAAAGCTCACGTCTTCAGACGACGCTGGATCGCCGAGAACGTTCACCATTAGTGCAAATGGTACACGCAACGCACAACTGCCTAGTGGCAAGCCGGTAATAGCTCGCAAATGTTGTTCAAATTGATCCGTCTCGCATGCTTCAATCGTATAATGGCCCGAGTTATGCGGCCGTGGAGCAATCTCGTTCAAAAAGACGTCACCTGTAGCAGTCAAAAACAGCTCGACGCCGTAAATGCCGCGGCCTTCCAGCTCAGCGACTGCTGTTCGGGCCATTCCGGCAGCACGTACAGCTACATGCTCTGGAATTTGGGCTGGAACCAGCACCGTATCACAAATGCTGTTGCGCTGAGTAGTCTCCACAACGGGATAGGCACGAATGTCGCCCGCAGTGCCCTTGACGACCATAACAGCTAGCTCCTTTACAAACGGCACCCACTTCTCGGCATATAATTTATTTTCTTCTTCAGCCATCTGCTTCTCATCAGCATTAGCACCATCTTTGGCGAGCACCTTAGCTCCCAGCTTTTCAAACGCGCCTACTAAATCTTTCTCACTCTGAATAACGGCGTTGCCTTTACCGTCGTACGCAAAACGACGCGACTTGAGCATGTATGGGTACCCAAATTTTAGACCCAGTTGACGAGCATCTTGAAGTGACGTAACGATTTCGTACGGAGCTACGTCAATACCGTTCACCTGTGCAAAGAACTGCTTTTGAAGGTACTTATCTTGAATCAAAGCGATGGTAGCCGGCGCTGGGTGTACGCCTAACAGATTGGCTGCTTTATTGTCCTCAAGTTGTTGTAAATAGACTGCATTTACATGCTCAATCTCAACTGTCAACACGTCGCACTGTTCGGCCAACTTAGCGATATCTTCCTCCTTAGTAAAGCTGCCAGCGATGGCTTTAAGTCCTGTCTGACCCGCTGGAGAGTCAACACCAAGTGGATCTAGTACCAGTACCTTTAGACCAAGACGATGGGCTGCATTTGCCATCATACGTCCAAGTTGACCGCCGCCTAATACGCCGACAATTGGAGGCGCAGTTCCGCTACCATCGGATATCAAAACTGGCATATTGATATGCTTTTTAGTTTGTGTGGATGGCTGTTAAGTAATTAGTAAAAATCATGTTGATACTTACATAAATAGCAAAGAATTTTACAAACTAAATTTTAAAAAAGTAACCAAAAAGTCATCTGGAAGGAGCTTGCCACTAACCTTTGAGAACTCGATGTTATTCCGATGGTTTATGCTGATTCAACGAGTCAAATTTGATGCTCTCGACAGAGAGTTCTTTGAGAAATGCGATCTGTGACGATTAATTAGTGACTGCTTATAAGTTCACGAGCAAAACATGTATTTATGGATGTGAGTGTTACTCCGCATATTTATCGCCGAGCTACTTTGTTGCTACATCCTTAATGAAACTTGTACAAGGCTCACCGTTGCAATAGTATCGCTGTATATTTTCGGTGCTCGATACTAATCTTATTTTTCTTTCTGATTGTAAATCAAAAAGCGATAATATTTGGATATCATACTGGCTGGGCGAGTCTTGATAAGAACAAGCCGGCGAGTGTCTTCAGCAATCATCCGACTTTCTACGACATATAGACATTGTGCAGCAAGGCTAGCCTATATAATACAAAATAGACGAACCATAAAAATGATAAGTATGTCGTAAGTTAAGAATTCAGAACTGAGTTCAGCTAAATTTATACAAAAAATTATACAATGTCAAACTGATCATAACATACTCTATTCTTTAAAGTCAGAAGTTAGTTCTTAGGTATTTATCCTTGATATCCGCCATCTTGAACAGATGGTGCTGATTGTCTAAAGCCATTCTGCAAGCTCGCACTAGATTCGTATAATGTGATAGCGCGCTCGTCATCAAGCTCTAAGTCACCCAACACAGCATGACCGGCTCGTACAGACTCTAACGGGATTTTCTTCCTGGGTTCGATCCACATATTGCGCATCCAGGCACCCCAAGCCACGCTAAGCAGAAAACTTACAAAGGCCATAAAGCAAAGAGCAGCGCTAGATGCCAACAACGAGCAGCGTGCAACACCATCCACCACATTGCAGTAGCGCACATAGTCACTGGCTGCCAAAGCACAGCCAGCACTCATGAACAGCATTGTTAAGACGGCGTCCATACCAAAAGTCCAAAGTGCCGGCACTTTTGCACATCGCCAAGTTAATACGAAGAGCAAAATAAAAGCATCGTATAGAGACGCAGTGAATGAGACGATTATGACAAAATTAACGGCCGGTCCGCCGAAGTAGACGGTCATTTCTTGTGTCCCTCCGTTCTTCGTCTGAAAACTCATTTTGCGCGACTCGAAGCTTACAGCAACAAGCACAAGTGCTACGACACATGAGGCAAATTGTAGTAAGCGCAGCGTATAGCAGACCATTTGATCATGCTGCTGGCCAAATCGACGATTGCTCTCCATAAAGAGGTGCGATGGCGAAACGTTAAATAGCCGGATCACACTTTTGTGCTTAAGAGAAAATGACTAGATGTGTATGGTTTCGATATGACTTAATAGTGCTGAAGAGATAAGCTCAGCCAAGAACTTCATCAGAAAATACAACATTCGGAAACGACCATCTATATCCTCGGTCCGTGTTTCAAATAGTGCAAGTTCGAAAGAATCTGCCCCAAACCTAAAAACTGCAGTTTTGTCTGTATACTTACACTCTTAATTAACCCATCTTGCTCTAATCCTTAGATCGCTTTGAAAGTTCAACCTGTTCCTGTGAAGGTGAGAAGGACAATCACTTGACCAAATCATTTAGTTCTTAAGTCAGATTTACCAAAGACCAGAACAAAAGAAAGGCAGGATGCGCGACAGAGATCAAGAGTCTGATCGGCACCTAACAATTGCCACGTCGAACAGATTAAGTGCACACACCTTAAAATATGTACAGCTATTTGATCCCTTAACCCGCTGAGCAGGTAGGAACTACGAGTTTCAGCTAACCAGGTGTTGGTAGAGCCTCTACGTTGCTGCATTGTATCAACCATATGTTTGGAACAAACGGGATGTCTCCAAGTAATGCTAATTTCCTACCTCTATTCCTATCAAAATGAGCTTAGGTGTATTATATAAAATCATCTTGCTCAAAAGAATACCGGATATTGCGTTGCGTATACATGACAAGTTCTAGCTCCTTGGAGTCATATTGTAACATTAATGTTCCACGTGTTTTCATGCTAGCACACCATAATATCGGGTACTTAACATATTGTAACATTATCGCGATCGGGAAATAAGTTGAGCAGAGTCGTTTAATAACCTACGGTCATCTCACTTATGTAAAAAAAACAGTAACAACACATCCTTACAAATTTTGTTGGCTAACTATCAGCTGAACGCACCGGTCTGACAAAGCTGCTTGAAAAGATGCAGGAGATAACATACTGACGTAAATCTACAAAAGCAATTGCACAACGTCGTGATAATGTCCAGCAAGAATTTGACAGACCACCTGATGCGGTTTGAACACATCTGTGTAAGACGGTAGAGATTTTGACAGATGAAGAGAGTCTTGATATTGTATTGGAGTGTTTATGTTCATATATCCTGGCGCCTGGGTTGGAGACACTTTTCGATGCATTGAGGCGTGAGTACAAGACGCTGAAAATCAGAGAAAAACAAGATTGCTTAAAGAGGTTGCGCAGAGACGCACAAGAAACAAGTAGGCGAGAGGTGATTGTAGTCAGCTGTGGTATCACGAGCGTATACAACAGCGAGGCAGCATCCGTGATTGTTGGGGTGGGCTACAAAGGCCGCCGCGTTTACTTTCATTAGCATACCAAGTAACGCACAAGATTCAGTACATCCACTCGAGATTCCTACGTCATGAAAATTGATACTTCGCATCTACGTGTGTTTGGCTCTTCTGGATTATGTACATTGGCGAGCTCAGGAAATCCAAGTCAGTCACCAGTGTCTTCTAAGATACCCTGGAATGATAAGGCCTACCACATTTAGAAGACGTTAAGTGTACTTAAGCCTAACGAAGATTCTCCTGCGAGCATTTCAACGTGCATATGTAGGGATGTAGTAGCTATCAGACGGCTCAATCAAAAATTTTGGATGAAGCGGATGAAAATTTAAACGTTTCATCGCAGCTATCGAGTAGAACTGATATGGAGACAGACCACTTGTCTCACGAGTCTGGTGCCGCTAGACTTAACGAATAAAAGTGGCTCAAAGAAGTCATAGAGAGTCGTATAAATTGCTGGTAGTCGTAGTGGGCTGTGAGCTGAGCGTTCTTCTCGTTCATATTACCTCGAGCGACGTCGTTACGGCCGCTACAAAAGGTATCTTTTAAAAAAACAGACCTGATATCAGTGGGAACAATTAGTTTTTAAATGGAATCAGTATCATGAGCTTGACTGGGACATACTACTTTGGAACACGACCAAGAGTGGCAATGGATTGCGATATTTCTTGTATGAACGCGCTGAAGAAAATGGACCGGAAGGTGTTCATGCTCTAATTTATTATGCATCTTCATTATTGAAAAATGGGCTTGCTCTTGAGATGGTGACCGTATCTTGGGGGAAGAAGGCCGTGGAAATACCTTAGCGCCAATGCGTGGGATGATGTATCCTAATTGCTTTGGCAGTGATGGGTTTTTGCGTAAGCATCGCATAGCTATGGATTCAGCTAATTGTGTGCTGCGATATCAAGCTTTTCATTCTGAGTTTCGAGTGCATTTCAGCGAAAACGCGGGCAACATGGTACGGAAGCCTTTAGAAGTAAAGGATCGGTCTCATGTGGATTTGACGCGATGAAATTGGTGCTACTGTTCACTCCAAATATCATCTCGTCACCCTAAAATATTCGGTGACGAATGTAGTGACACTTATTTACAGGTCGCTAGTATGAAAACAGCTAAAACATTTTTGGGTCGGTGGGGGCTTTTTAGTATGATATCGAGATGGCATTACGCAATGGTGTACATGATAAGTGCCAATTGGAGTGAAAGCATGGTTTGTACACTGCATTAACGAATTTATGGACAAAAGTATCATTTCTTGTACATTTTTTAAGCATTTGTCGCAGCTGAGAGACGCAGGAAAATCTGGATCGCAATAACAAAATGAGATATTTTTTAAATAAATGTATTATGGACGTTTGTTGGATTTTACCAATTCAAAATTTCCAACCAATTTATGAAGCCACCAGGAGAAACTCAACTCTGACACAGCAGCTGCATACCAACAAGCGCAAGCGTGATCAATCTGCAAGCAATCACAGGTACAAACTCGAAGGTGACGGCTAACAAGCATGTCCAAAAAAGCAAGACTTGCGCGAAGTTTTGAAAGATAAGGGTCCGCATGCAACAACCCAGTGGAGCTGATCATTAAGACATACTGCTTCACCCACAATAACCAAAAACCTGTGCGAAGGTCACATAAGACGAAGTGGAGCTGCTCAGTTTCGTTTGGATTAATCGGCAAAATCGGGATTCGGATCAATTTGTTGGATAGGCAACAGGTCGGGAACGAAAAAATGATCAAAGCGGAAAATTCACTCGCACGCATAATACACACGGAAAATATGATGCTTAATTACGCTGTATCAGAAGCCAACATGCTACGGTGAAATCCCTCCATTTTGTCGTGCAAAGAAACTTCCTTTCAGAAATCTTGAAAGTCATCTGATGCATCGTTTCAGTTCTTCATCAGAGCAACCATGCGCGCCACTCTTGCCTGTAAATTTAAACATCGGTAGAACGGTCGTTCTAAACCAGTGAATGTCAGAGTACTGCCATTTACGTCACCAAACGTCGTCCGGACATCGAAGCGGCATGGTTTCTTCGACGACGACACGCTGATGTGGAGCAATCGTATCTGATCTGCGCTAAACACTATGATGCCGTTGTGGTCTGCCAGATCAATGAGAGAGATGCCACGGATAGATGGATCAAAGATTCTCAAGCGAAAAGCGTCCGCTTCGTCGCGAATGAAGCTAATTTGGAAATGATTGAATGCGTACTTCAAAGGCCTGAACAATAACAATCCATTCTTCACATCGTCGATGTCAGAAATCTGCATCATTACTAGCAACATTTATCCGTTGCTGCGACGAAATAGGTGTGACGCAGTCACAAGCGATTTTTAAAAAGCAACATTGAGCAACATACATCGCGCCCTTGATTTCTTTTGGCTGTAGCATCCATAGTAGTTACACAAATTGTTTTGAAGTATCGATTTGATTCAGACAGAGTCGTTGAGGCGTTTGTGAGAACTTGGGGCACGAAGAGTCAAGGCTAAGAAGTGGGGTCGTGATGCGGTGGAAAATATCACTAACACGTCAATTTGCTTGATTTTCGGTTCTGGCATACCCTCAAAAATGTCCTCAAGACCAAACTCCCCTCAAGTTCACAGTCTTCATGTGTCAGCGCTTTGATTAAAGCAGTCGTTGCCCCTTTCTTAAGCTTCTCCCCATCATCTGTGCTTGTTTCGAGCCATGTATTGTCGCCCTGTCTGGCGAGGAACAGCTGCAGCTTGTCCGCATCGACCATTTTCAGACTTTTCTTCTTCTCCTTCTTGATGGCTTTCTTCAAGTCATCCACAGACTCAGTCGCGTCGATAGTCATTTGGAAACGCGCTACCTTTCACGCCAACGACTGCGCCAGAACAGCTTCAACATGTCTCCAGTTGCTCTTTGAGTTCTCTATGCTCATTTCAGCCTATCAAATGGTGCAATCTAATGTAAGAATTGTTACCACCCATCTGGGTGATATATATTACGTGATTGTCGGATACCAAAACTACTGGTTATGAAAAAAATGTTGTTGTACATAAACCGGTAGATACCGAATTACCGAGTTATATATATGAGTACATATTACAGCTATGTAAAGAGATTAAGCACGCATGAAGAAATTGTTAAAAGTGAAGCACACAAACTAGAAAAACACTCATTTTGTCGTATCCATCATAATGTTTAAATCAAATCAATCAACTTCGTCCCTTTGAATTTTCTCAATGATACGCTATATCAACATACGATTATGTCCAGCATCGAAACACCATCGTTCAAATTGGTATCGTTAATGGAGTTTCCTTTGCTAACACATCCATATTTGAGTCAAGCTTCACTGCCTTTAAACGATCTCTCCTTCAAAGTATTTGAAAACTGTTTTTTTCGAGCTAATTCAGAGCGCAGAATACTCCACCGTCACATCCATTTTATCATCTTTTGAAGCAGCTTATAATACGGCAGGCATTCTGCTTCTCATCGTTGCAATAATCATCAATTATAATGAGCTATTGTTGCTTTGTTGGTAAGAACGATAACATCTATAGGGCCCTTAGCTCGCTACGCTGTGCTACCTGAATCTAACCTGATTTATTTAGACCAATGAACAACTTTCATTACGTTCATGATTAAATCTGTGACCATGACTCTCATCGTATGCATTACGGTGATCCTTGTGACGTCATCGCTTGTCCTGTACATGCAATGAGTGGTGTTATCATAACACTCCCACTCGCCGCTAATGCTGTGTATGCTTAGGCTCTGGTTTAGTCCTTATATCCGTTCTTTCGCGTAGTAACATGAGCGTTTTGGTACCGAGTGCCTGGGTAAGCATATCCACAAGTCGGTTCTGCGTATCGACGAGCTCGCTTCTGATGCTTGATGACCACATTCTTGGTTCTGGCATGATAGCCAGCATTTTGTGCCAGTGCTTTTGTCCCTTGATTGTTCTTCCAGATTTTGGTAGTAGATTCCTGCCCTTCACTATGTCCTTTACCAACAATGCATCTTGGGTGCGTAAGCTCAGCACCATGTACTCTGCTTCTGCTGAACTCAGCGCCAATGTCTAAGAAACTCCGACTTGAACACCACGGAACCATTCCCGATCCTGACCACCACGCCTGATACACAACACTTGTCGCCGATGTTGCGCCCTTAAGAAGAGTCTGTGAACGCTTCAACCATAATCTTAGCAGACACTCTTTCTTAAACGATTCCATGCAGGCGTGCTGTCTTCAAGTACCGAACCATACGAATCGCTGCTCGCCAGCGCTGTAGTCCTGGGTTCTTGCGAATTCTTGGCATCTACATTACAACATGGGGAATGTCCGGCCTGGTACACGTCGGATTACGTAAGACATCCATCGGTACGGTCTTGACTAAATTTCAGTAGCTTCTGTTTCTGTTCCTGTCGACTGATCTTTCAGCAACTTGAGGTTGGAAGCACAAGGGTCGTCAATCACCTTGGCGTTCTGCTGACCAAATCGCTCCGTCACATCGTCAATATACCGTGTCTGTTTGATCATCAGTGTTCCAGCATATTTGTTGTGGTAGATTTCCGTCACCAAAATAAACTCTGCGTCATCGACTTCCTTCATTTTAAAAGCGTTCCTGAGAGCATCTTTAACTTCGCAGACCTCAGCACGGGTCTTGGCCGCAATTGTCATAACATCCACTTACAGACAGACGTATCTACAGCCGTTTTTTTGGACGCTTCACATACATGCACTGATCCGCACTACAGCCCTTGAAACCGTTGTTCACGAAGACACCGTTCATAGTTTTGTTCCAGGCGCATACTGCTTGCTTTACCCAGAGATGGACTTGTTTAGCGGACAAACTTGATCTCCAGCGTTCTTAATGCCGGAAGGTACCTCCACATATACACGGTCCTTTAGCTTGCTCTTCAATTGTTTCACCTAGTAAGCTTCTGCGGTGCATACCGCCAAGTTGAGACCATATTCGCCACCAGATGAAACAAATAAATAGAGCTTACATTTTAAACAGAAGAGTTTATTAGCCTTGGATTAAGGTTCTAACTACTCTTGGAGGTAGCGGATTGCGATCCGCTACACTCGTACTGG